GAATGAATTGATTGAATGGAAGGATTTTAATTGATTTATATAGTAAAATTAGTTGGAATACTGTGTACATGTTGTTTGATCAGTAGTAGATTATTTAAAATAACGTCAGTTATTGATGATCGTTGCCTGTGATCACAAACATGGAAGAATCTTAAATAAAAAATTGTCACTTATTATTTGATACAGTATTCTAGAAGAAATTTCAAGAAAATTTATCTCAAACTACAACAAAAATAAATTAATATATTAATAAAAGATAATTCTATTCTGTTACTGATAATAAACTAAAAATATTTTACACGTTTATACACTTGTCCAACAGTTTTCTAATAAATGTTTTATCTATTTTCTCATCGGTTTTACTTACAATTTGCAAAAAGGAATAATCATATATTTAATTTAGCAATTAATTCAAACGACATTATTAAAAATGATCGATTAAATCAAAAAATTCGTTCTGATTAAATCTTTTTCAATATCGATAAAAACTTTTCCGAGAAATAAAACAAATATTTTCAGAAAAAATATTCTATATAATTATATAATAAAATTATTAATAAATCTGCACACAAAGATTTCCATAGTAATAACGAAAACTTATTAAATATCAGTGGCAAATAATAATGAAGTATAACAAATATCATTTGTGTGAACGTCGGAACGTCGTTAGCATACTCAAATGCTACTGCAATCGCACGTTAAAGTCGTTTTACGTGACCGTAAAGATACCACAATGGTTGAGAGGGAGGAAGAAATGAAATAAAAAAAAAAAAGTTAAGATATATACCTAAGCGTGTGGAAGTACATAGAAATACCACCTTATTTCCACTTTCCGTTTTGTATAGAAGTGCGAAGCATATAAACGATTCAGTAACGGGCCGGTGTTGTTGGTAGTCCAGTTGTAAAACGATCATGTTCAACGGCACTTACGAAGACAAGATTATCTTACTTGCAATCTGTATGGGAGAACGTTAGTCTGAAACCTACGTTAATTTACGTTTAGAAAGAAAAAATTCTACTGGTAATCATTAGGCACGTTTTAACATCTTACCACATACGTTATCGCAATATTAAGAACATTATTTTATCTGATTTTTTTCTTTGATTTTTATTCCTTCAAAAAGTATTACCCATTAGAACTAGTAATCAACATCGTCATTTGCTACAATCTTTCACGGACTATTTAATAGGGGTCTTTAGTTTGTTTTTTTTTGTTTTTCTTTTTTTTAATGAGAAATTTATTTTCTGCATCATTGCTGAGGTCATCAGAAGTTAAATACATTTTCTTAAGGAGGAAAAAGATTTTGTTTAGTATTGTTGATTGTACGTTAAACTAAATGGAATTTGTTAGTTGGAATTATGTGTTTTTGAAATTATAGCAAGCTTATCAGAAATAAAATGAGGAATGTTTAAGATTCTTGGAAGATTCAGATACGAGGTCATTGATCTTGACAAATACTTAACTTCTAAGTTACTTATCTCGAATTATTATTTGAAAAATAATTCTATAAAGAATTCAAGAATTCATTTGTATTAATTAATATAATCGGTATTTATTTATTTATTATTTAATAATAAATATATCATGATCATTAACTTATTCGAAATTAAATTATACAAAACCATGAACCCAAAAGAAGATAAACAAAAAATTGATCTCCAAATTCCAATGTAATCGATCGATGAAAAATTAGATCAGGAAACAACACATCATCCTAAACTTTGAAACATTATTTCAATATCGCTAAGCTTATTAACCATAAAAGAAGTAAAAATAATCTCACGATACTTCGGACACCTTGGTTGACTTTCAAGAAGAAGAAGAAGAAGAAGAAGAGAAACGATAAAACTTGGTTAAACGTGGTACGCGCGGTGATGCTTTATTGGCCTTTATCGAGTTTCAACGCAAGCACCGGATTCCTTTATGGAAACGCCGTTAATTTTACGACGCGGGCATATTTAGCCCGCGGCCTCTCGTAAAATCATACTTTGGTCGCGATAAAGTTAAAACATCGGCGAAGTTAAAGCAAAGTTCGCCTCGTAAATACGCGAAGGGGTGGACGGTAGGTGAAATAACGAAGGATAGAAAGAGAAAGATGTAATGGGAAAGAAAGAGAGAGAGAGAG